GACGGGGTCTCGCTCTTGCTCAGGCTGGTTTCGAACTCCTGAGCTCAAACAATCCGCCCGCCTTGGCCTCCCAGAGAGCTAGGATTACAAGCATGAGCCACCGCGCCTGGCCAGGGATTACTTTTAAATAGCATCCCTAGCTATCTGGTTGATGATTATGGAAAAATAGGTATCTCATTCACTGCTGTGTGATATAATTTTTTTAGGCATGAAAGAAATGATACAATTTTATCTGGATGGATATTAATATTGTTTGTGTCCTTAAATTTGTATTAATTCTGTATGTTACATGACAGTCATCATTCTGCCACTTATATGAATTAGCTCAATAATGCCGAGTTAGCTCTGGAAGCATCATTATTTCGTGGGGTTGGAAAATAGCCCCAGACTAAAAGATGTCTAGCTTCTGGTGGTTACTGGAAAGGAGAAGGCACCCTAGGGAGTAACTTCTTACCATAGTTTCAGATAAAGGAAAATCTTGTTGATATTCTGGGTTTTCTCTTTCTGTGTCTATCGGATTAACTCCTAGACGCCATTAAAACCTAACCATATGTTAGTGGAGGACATTTCCCTGTTTGTAATCTCTTCTCTGACCAGTGTATTATTTTAATTGATTAGTCGTAGAATCTCATTTAGATCCTCCTCTTTGGATCTTTCTCCTTGAAGATGTGTTTTTTGCTGACATATCACTTATTTTTTCTTTTTACTAATTTCTAGGAGGGCGGCGTTACCATCTAGTGTTCTAGTTGAAAGAATTGGTATAGTGAGACAAAATGGGTGGGAAGATGTCAGCTGAGCATAAGTGTGGAAAATGGGGTTTAAAACAATCTCCACCTCTTGAAGTTTCAGAACAAGAGATGCAGTGGGAGCTGAGCGATAAGACTTTGCCATCATAAAACTTGATAAACATGGTCTTATACTGCTGCCCTCTATATCTGTGGCCTTCTAGTCTTCTCTGAAGAGTTTGGGACGGTTTTTGAGCTTGACTTAGCTATAGCCTTGTCCAAGGTGGTATAACTTTAAGGAGTACATCATAGAATAGAATCAGGCCAAAGAGCTCGTCTCTGGCATGAGAATGTCTGAGTTTGACTATAATCATCATCACTTTCTAAATTAGCTTGAGATTGGCCTATTTGAACCTAATTTATTTTTTCCTTGTTTTTAATATGAACATATTTCCTACAAAATAGAATTCTGTAGCTTTAATCATAAAAGAAACTTCTTTTTCTTTTTTCTGTCAAGTAGTTAGCAGTTATAGGAAATATATGTCACCAGAATACATTGCTTCTGATGAGACTTGGATGTCAGAGAGCATGTACACTGCATATTTAGACATTCTTGATACTATGTAATATACTTAACTGCCAAAAAGGAAGAAACTACTATCTTAGAGCTGCATTCTTGGCTTTGTGTATATGCCAGTTCTGGCAACTCTTCTGCCTGATTCTTTTGTTTACATTCTTGAACTAAAACGTTTGAATTTTTTACATTAACAAGAATTCTTCATATTACCCTGCTTTCCGTGTGCTTTGTTATCTAAATTTGCCAGACCACTATCTACTTTAATGTTTGTGCAAGTCTGCCTTTGCTCTCATACATGTGGTCTACATTTTATTAAAATCACTATAACTGCTAAAGGTAGATATGTGCATGTTTAAGACAAAATGTAGTTTTTGTTTTCTTTTAAGTCAAAGTATTTTTATGAATATATGTATGTGTGTGTGTGTGTGTGTGTATATATATATATGCGTGTGTGTGTATATGTAAATGTTAAGGTCCTAGGAGGACCATTTTCCTAGAAGATGAAGTGGCTGTGCTTCAGGTGTAGTACCTGTAAGAGGAGGTAGTTTTTTGTTGATTTGTTTTGTTATGTTATAGCACAGGTATAATAAACTCGGCAGCCTCAGCAGCCTGGACAAAATTTGTTTTCCGGATCAGAAAGAGCCATAGGTGTACTGGAGACTGAGTAATATCATGGAAATATTTGGCCGTTAGGATAATTTTATTCCTAAATGAATTAGGTGGGATGAATAAGTTGCCCAACTCAAAAATAAAGACGTTGACTAATCCAGGAGAAATCAGGGACAGTTATCTATATATGAAGTTATTACTTTAGCCTATTTTTGAGACTTTTCAGTGGCCAGGTTATCACAGTGACAAGCTGTCATGTGTTTGGATGCAAGTTGAGAATGGTCAGAATAGAATATTCACAATGCTGCTTTCTCCCAAAAGACAAAAAAAAAAAAAAAAAGACTATGTTAGGCAATGTTCTGTGAATGTGGGAAAATTATTTCTTTTAGGTTAGATGGGCTGAGAAAGTAGGAGTTTGCTAAATTTTGCTTTTGTTATGACGTTCCCTGAAATGGTGATAATAAATAATATTTTAAAAGGGTAGGTAGTGTAAATCATCTTTATTATAGGTGCTAGTATTAAAATTTAGGTTCACGAAAGAATACTCTAAAACTAATTTCTTTATACAGAGTAACATGTGCTCTTTTCTTGAATTCTTTAATAATAAATGGCAAAAAATTTGAAGTCTAAGGTAAAATCTCACTTCGAAGCACAAGAAAGTACACTGTTGATTCCACGATTTGGGTTTGTGAGGCAGTCAGCTTTGACTAAACTTTTAGGTAACAGTGTAAGTAGTGGGTCATATCTAATACTGCAGTATTGGTTGGTGTTAAAAGTGGGTTTACGAGGAAATAACATTTTCAATTCCTGACTTTGTCTTAGTTTATGAGGAAATATGGAGTTTCCATTTCTGTTATTATCTCCTGCTGAGACATCTCGTTAGCCCTAAGAACGAAGGCCACTTCTCCATTCACCAGTTGTCCGGGCTGAAGGGGCATACATTTAAACACGCTATTTAAACATTTTAAAATGGCATGTATCAAGCTCTTGTGTGTTATACTAATGATTGGAAACAAAGTACTACTACTTTCTTGTCTTTCAGAATACAGAATCATAATTATGTGAAGATCAAAATTATAACTGTCTCCTAGCTATTACCTTTGAAACAGTCTAAAATCTCCTACTACTTTCTCCCACACTAAAGCATATGTTTTACAGGATGAGCTCCATGTGACAGAGCTTGGCTTGCTCCCAGCCTTCTTGATGTACTAGATTTTTCTCTCTTAGATCGTTTCCTACTTTTCACATCTCTGGTTTTCATTGAAAGTGTGATGAAAACCGTGTGGATCTCTTTTAGCAAAGGAGACTAAGATGAAAATAACTTATGAGGCTTAATAAGTAGCCCCTGCCAGGCCTTAGTATTTTAACAGGAGAATAGAATACTTCTAGTGAAATTTCAAAGATTAGTTTGGGGATGGAAGTTAATTTCATTTGAAATTACATCACATTACTGGAAAGAATCCTCCTTATTCCTAGAACCACCTTTTCATGGAGTTCTGCTATTTTGTGGTCCTCATTTGTGTGTCTATTTGCATAGATTTTGAGATTTATACCACTTTTTCATATATCTTCCCTGGAAAGAGAGGCAGGATTAGCAAGTATGCAAATTGCTCTACTTATAACACTTGTTTTATGACTTTAACTTTTAATTAATCTGCCCCATATCTATCCCCACTCAATTCACAAAAGAATCTGTATGCTTTATACTCCAAAAACATTGTTATTTTAACCAGTTTTTAAAAGTCATTCAAGAAATTTGATTCTATACAGTGTCAATTTGGAATTTAGCCGTATTACCAATAGATACTACGTGCTAATAGTTATTTTCTGCTTTTCTTTGGATAATCTCACTGTTTTGTTTACTTTTACCTGTGATAATCCCTCATTTAAGAAAAGCTTTTGTTTTTCAAATTTTTTTTTTAACTGTGGCCTTTTCAAAGAAAAACAAGCTTTTCTGTAAACTACGAATTTTGATCATCACATTTTTTTCCCTGTGCTAGTACGGGATGTATGTTGAGTTATACTTGAATTTTCTAATATGCTGAAAACAGTGTTTTGGTAAAAGGTTTGGGGAAGCTTTACCAAAAAAAGTATATTTAAATTTAAAATTCCTTCTGAACACAAAAATTCAGATTTATGCTTTACACTTTCAGCCAAAATTTATTTGTGTCCTATACTGGACTTTAGTGGTCAGGTGAATAAAACAGTAACTTGCCAAAAAATGCAAAAAGATCATTATAAATGACTTTTTGACTATCTGATATTAATTTATATGAGAATTTTAGGTGTATTGGTTTTTTTTTTCTGATTGAATTTTGTTTTAGATGCCATTCTAAATATGGTGAATATTGCTGCTAATATTCTGGGAGCAAAAACTGAAGACCTGGCAGAAGGTACCTAATCATTTTATGGGTCTTTTAAAGAGCTAGTATTCCAGGAGTCCTTCTAGTTAAGAAAGTCATGTAATGAGCCAAGAAAATTTGATTTTTCATGTAGAAATATAAAAATAGTTCAAAGGAGCTTACTGATCTTCTGTTATTCATTATTTATTTGAATTCTGTAAGTTCTTTTTAATAAAAGGATCTTGTCTCTATAAAATTCATGAATTTGTTTTTTGCTTCTTCACTGCTTTGATAGTGATGATTTCATCCCTTATCTCTTTACCGAGGTTTCGATGTCCTAATAGTACGTTTTCCTTTTATGTATCAAATAGCTATGTAATTTAGAAAGCCATCTTTTCCTTGCAGAATGGCAAATAAAATATTATTAGCAAGGAGAAATAAACTTGCCTTTTTTGTTTTTAAAAAGTGTTTAGTTCTAGGTACATACTTGAAATGACCCACTTATTTCCTCTCATTCTCTTTAATAACTCTTTCAATATCTAGAAGGTATATTAATCATCTAAGATTACACAGAATTCATAGTCATTTGACTTATTTTAATTATCTGAGAAATTGAGAAATAATACACATTATTTGTAGTTGTGATCTTATATGATAGTTTCTTTCTAAAAGAACTTTGATTTAAAAAAAAAAGTCTGTAGTGGCAAACCTATTTGACTTTTTTCTTCTCCTCCAAGAAACTAAAGTTATTTATTTGTTATAATAAAATATTTTCATGGTACAGCTTTTAAAAATGGAACTCAATATGAGCATCTTTCTTAAAATAGGAAATAAAAGTATATCTGAGAATGCCACTGCCACAACTGCACCTAAAATGCCTGAATCAACTCCTGTTTCAACTCCTGTTCCATCTCCTGAGTAAGTTATACTGTGATATTAAATAGAGTTCTATTAAAATAGAGAGCTAAGTATACTGTTATAAAAAAAGGAACTTGTGATTTGTGTGTGAAATGATTACCTATAGAGAGCTCTGAATCATAGGACAGACATTCCGTAGCCACTCAGAACATCTTTGAGTTGCTTCTTCCCATTAGTGTTTATGTGTACTGGGAGTACACTTCATTCTAGCCCAAACATTTGTTGTTTTTATATTATGTATTACTTTCGTTATTCACAACACTAATCTTTTCCTTATTGCAAATAATTGACCCGACTGTGCAGGTATAGGCTTGAGGACAAATTTTAAAGGCCTGTTTTTATTTATTAAGGTCGAGTTGAAAAGCATCGATTATGTATCTCTATCCCTAGAAAGTTACAAAGGATACCTGAAATACTTAGAGCAGTGGTTCTTGAGTTATCTGTTACACAGCAAGCTCTTGTGGTGTTCCATTTCTCTGACCTGTACAGGTTTTTCTCCAGGTTGGAGCACTTTGGGCAGGGATGTATATAGATAGGTATCTATCTGTAGGTAAAATGTACTCATTTTTTGTCTTTCCTGCCAGAGAGGGTTACTTTTTTGGGTACTTTTTCTTATGTATAATAGATAATAAACTCTTAATGATTTGGATAGTTGGATACAGTTATTATAGATTTAGTTTATGTATATTTCATTAGGTATACTCCTATAAAACTTTGCAAGTCCTTTCTCTTAGAGGAAGTGTACTTAAGAGGTTAAGATATTTAAACATGAAACACTTCTAGGTAGTATGTAATGAGACCTACAGTGAGTATGCTTCCAACTGCAATTCCTGAGTACTCCACTAATTAAAAAATGACATTTTTATGCTTTGAAGGGCATAACGAGAAATATATATTCTCCTGTGTTAATCCTGCAAATGACTGAAGATATTTAATCAGTGATTAGAGAGAAAATATAGATTATGTGTTACTGATTCCTAGAAGGACCTAAGAAGTCTCTTGGGGATAGAGATATTTTTGATATTTCTAATTACATGGAGCTGTGATTGTTATTTCTGATTTTGTAACTAAGTTTCTTCAGTTAACAATGCTGTATATCTTATTTTTCTAAACTGAATAAAGCTAATTATATATGTGTACACACATATACATACATGTAGATAGGAATATTTGTTGAATTTCTAATTACGTGGAGCTGTGATTGTTATTTCTGATTTTGTAACTAAGTTTCTTCAGTTAACAATGCTGTATAACTTATTTTTCTAAACTGAATAAAGCTAATTATATATGTGTACACACATATACATACATGTAGATAGGAATATTTGTTGAAAGATAAATCAAGTCAGTTTTTACTTTTTTATATTAGTTTTCAACAGATATTTTTCTGTAACTTTTTACTTAATATTTCTTCATGTTTGTCTTAAATTCTTTTTAATGATCATATAGCAATGCTTTGAGGAAAATATATGAAAATGAGAGAACCCATGATAGGATATCATTTTAAAGTTATTTTGAAAAGCTTACATATTCTTTTCCTGGGTTTGAGTGAGTTTGTTTTAAGTATTGCTCTGATTAGAGTGTATATAGATGGTGTATAACATCTATATACATTAGTTTTTACCAAATTCAATTTAGTTTTTCTCCCTCCCCTTCTCTAGGCATTACTTCTTTTTACTGTCATCATTTATTTGGTAGATAATAAACAATATACCACCTGAATATGTAAGAAATGTTATTAGAGAGTGTATATATGGCAATAAATATCTTTCTATTTAGAAAAGCATGGTCTAATTGTGTTTTAATTTGATCCATTTACTATTTTGCTGTCAACAAAATGAAAGTCTACCTCGTAGATACTGTCCGTTTTATTACCTTCTCCTATCTTTGCTGTTGTGACATTAGTCTTTATTTGAAGACATTTCCTGACATTCTTAGTAATTTTTCAGAGTAGGAAAATTGTGTATAAAGGTAATTCTTTTTGGTATTCAAATTACTGTATTTTTTTCATATTGCACCTTTTGTGCTGTAAGGCTGCACCCAGAAATTATCTTTATCTTGCAAAGAACCACAGGCATCATAATTTACAACACTGTTCCCATCAGGTCCACCTTCCCACTGGCCTAGACTCCATACATATACTTCAGAGCCCAAAATTAGAATAGAATTAATGGCACTATTAGTTTATCATAAGCCAGAATTTTTATTTGTTTTTAAGTATTTGGCTTTTAATAATAGAAAATTAGCCTAGACAAGATTATTGGTGGTGAGGGGGATATGTTTCTTCTCTTCTAAAGCAGACAATCTTGTGTGTGTATTTAATGCTGTGTTGCAGTTCAGATCATCCTCAGAAAAATTATCTTTGGGAAATCTAGCTGCCTTTTGAAAATAGGGTATTCAAGCACAGAGTACATTTATAAGTATTAAGAATCCTGGATTCTGGTTTTAGCTTTGGAGCTTATAGCTGTTGGATAGCTTAATTTCTGATCTGTAATGAGTGGTTAGGCTTCTAAAGATTTGGTGACTATTTTATGAGAGGAAAGGTACACCATACATTAAGTGAACGGAAGTATTCACTTATAATTCTTAAACAGATTAAAAGAAAACAAGTTTGATATGATAAATGTGGTTTGAGTCATCTGACTGCTACCTTGATAAATGGTCTTTCTGTTACCATTTCTGAGCCATATTGTTTTTATAATAAAAATGAAGGTGAAAACTTCATCAAAAAATAATTTGAATTTTTTCTGTATTCCCGACCTTCCTTTTATTTTATGTATGATAATGTTTATTTTCCTTAAAAATATTTTAACTTTAGGCTTTCAAATACAGTGATTTGTAATTATGATATGTATTTCTAGGTATATAACCACTGAAGTACATGTACAAGACATGGAGCCATCAAAACCAGATACTCCAAAAGAGAGTCCCATTGTACAATTAGTTCAAGAGGAAGAAGAGGAGGCAAGTCCATCTACAGTGACCCTTCTGGGCAGCGGTGAACAGGAGGATGAATCATCACCCTGGTTTGAGTCAGAGACACAAATATTTTGCAGTGAACTGACCACAATTTGTTGTATTTCTAGTTTTTCAGAATATGTATTTAAATGGTGTTCAATTAGAGTTGCTCTTTATTGGCAGCGCAGCAGAACTGCTCAGAGTAAAGGAAAAGATTATCTTGTGTCAGCTCAACCACCATTACTGCTACCTGCAGAATCAGTAGAAGTTTCAGTATTGCACCCTCCGAGTGGAGAATTGGACAGTAAGGATATGCAACGGGAAGCTGAAATTGTTCTTGGTGACTTAAGTAGTATGTACCAAGGCGATGTGATGAATCACACTGTAGATGCAATTGAACTTGAACCAAGCCATCCTCAAACTCTTTCTCAGTCCCTTTTCTTAGATATTACTCCAGAAATCAATTCTTTGTCTGAAATAGAAGTATCTGAGTCTGTTAAATATGAGGCAGGACATACACCATCACAAGTGATTCCCCAAGAGAGTTCTATTGAGGTTGATAATGAAACAGAAAAAAAATTTGAGAGCTTTAGTTCTATAGAGAAGTCATCTGCTATCTATGAAACAAATAAAGGTAATGAGGTAATGGATGATATTATAAGAGAAGACATGGACTCTATGCAAATTACCACAAAGCTATCTGAAACAATAGTGCCAACTTTAAACACAGCCACTGTACCAGACAGTGAAGATGGGGAAGCCAAAATGAACATAGCTGACACACCAAAGCAAATTTTGACTCCTGTTGTGGATTCTTCTTCATTACCTGAAGTAAAAGAGGAAGAACAATCTCCAGAAGATGCCCTTTTAAAAGGGTTACAGAGAACAGCTACAGATTTTTATGCTGAATTGCAAAATTCTACAGATCTAGGATATGCTAATGGAAATCTTGTACATGGATCAAACCAGAAGGAGTCAGTATTTATGAGACTTAATAATCGTATTAAAGCCTTAGAAGTTAACATGTCTCTCAGTGGTCGCTATCTGGAGGAGCTTAGCCAAAGGTAAGCTTTATTTTGAAGTAGAACAATCTATTGCGCACAGTAAGTTAAGTAGTAGAATATGATCCTTACAGAAGGAGAGGATTTAATTATCTCACGATATGATAGTAGTAAGCACAGTTTTTAGCTAGATAGAGAAAGAAACCTATTTGCTGATCAATGACTTAATGAATTGATTTTTTAAAAAGTTTTAGAAGTACTTCTCAGTGGCCTAATACGTTTGTTATTAGGCTAATAACAAGTTTGAATTATTTATACTCGCTTTTTTTCTTCTTCTGTTGCTTAACTTTAGCTATTTTTACTGTTCGATTCCCAGAGGCCTCACGGAAAAAATGATAGCATATAGGCCTTAAAGCTCTTAGTGAAACTTGACCAGATAATCACTTAAGAGTTTAGATAAGTGAAGACAAGGGTAGACTAAATTGGATGATTAGGCAACATTTGCAATTCACACTCTTTTAAACAGGTCCTAGTTCTAGTTCTAATTATTTATGTTGTGTGCTTCTAAGTGCCAGAGACAGTGCCAGTATGTTTTTGCAGTGATTAAGACCTCAGGCACAGCTTCATTTTTTAAACCTACGTATTCATTTTTAGTCACTTAAATGTACATTGACTATTCTTAGGGCTTCAACATTTTGCAATCATGTAGGAACCAAGTATATAGACACCACCTTTTCTTACATCTTAAATTGAAATGTTACTAATAAGATGTCACTTGGGTGGTCATATCCTAAGTGGAATTTCTTCCTAATTCATACATATAATTTATTGGCAAATTATGTGTGTGTGTGCACGTACATGCCCATTTAGTTATTTAGTTACCTGCTCTTGCCTTTCCCACCCCCATCTGCACCCCAAAGGAACCACAGAAATCACTAAATTTTATATAGCAATGAGATGCATAGAATTAATGTGAAGGTAACAGATACCTCAAGGGACCTCTTCATTATACCTTTGCAAATGTCCCTGTATTGCACAGGTCTGAATAAGAGTCATTTTAAGAAAAATGATTTATCTCATATGTCCAAATCAAAGTGTTTCCAGTGCTAAGTGAACGAATAAGAAATTAATTTAAACCAATTCTTACTCTGTAGGTACCGAAAACAAATGGAAGAAATGCAAAAGGCTTTCAATAAAACAATAGTAAAACTTCAGAATACTTCAAGAATAGCAGAGGAGCAGGTTGGTCTCCTTCATCCCTTATTTACATTTTATATGAATTTTCATTAAATTTTATAGGATCTCACTGGTAAAGGGATTAGTATGGTTGGTTCACTTTTTCTCCTGATAGCTGATGTTTGTCTGTTATATGATGTCACATTTGGAAAATTATCTGTTAGCATCATTATTTCCTTTAGAGAAAATTTTCTTGAGCATTATTCATATTACATTTTTTGTGTATGTAAGTAGAAGTGTGGTAGACTTTTCTGCAACTTTGTTAAACTCTTTAAAATCTTCAGGAGGATTGGGAGGAACAAGATCTTCTGTGGTTTTTTATGTAGATAATCATCCTCATATCTTTTTCATTTTTTTCTCCTATCTTGTGGATTTTAAGGGAACAATTCCAGTATTGCACATTTAAGTGTGATATATTATCACAACAAAGAAATTTTATACTGAGCTTTTCCAAAAGGTTATTTGGGACTAGGACATGGTGAGGTAAGGAGACGTGAGGTTGCAGAGAGTTTAGTTAAGTGCATCTTATTCTCCCGTTCATGACACATTGTAATTGTGATTCCTTCTTTATTGTTTGTTGTTTTAATTATTATTAAGGTTTGAGAGTACTTTACATATTCTGAATATAAGTACTTTATCAGAGATATGCTTAGCAAATATTTTCTCCCAATCCATTACTTGCTTTCTTATTTTTGTTACAGTGTAGTTTGAAGAGCAGACATCATTGATTAGTTGAAGCTCAATTTATCAATTTTCTCTTTGCTCTATGTAATTTTTGCCCTACGCAAAATCACAAAGATTTTTTTCCTCTATGTTTTCTTCTAGAAGTTTTATAGCTTTGGTTTTTCATTAGGGCTGTGATTCATTTTTAGTTAATTTTTTGTGTTACAAGGTATGGATCAAGGTTCTTTGGGGGAGAAGAGAGGAGGGGGAAGGCATTTGACTATACATCTGTTCTAGCATCATTTGTTGAAAAGACTGTCCTTTCTCCACTGAATTTCCTTTGCACTTTTGATAAAAACCAGTTGACCATAGGTCTGTTTCTGGGCTTCTGTTCTATTGATCTATTTGTCTTTCTTTATGCTAATACCACAATACTGTGATTGCTGTAGCTTTATAGTGACACTTGAAGTCAGGTAGTGTTAAGTCTGCCAACTTTGCTCTTTTCCAAGATTGTTTTGACTGGGTTTTTCACATCTCCATATGGATTTTAGAATCAGCTTGTCTGTCTCTACAAAAAAAAAACACAAAAACTCTATTTGAATCTTGATTGGGATTGCATTAAATTCATAGATCAATTTGGAGAATTGACATCTTAACAATATTAAGTCTTCTGACCCATGGACACAGTATTTATTTAGGTCTTCATTAATTTTAATCCAACGATTTCCCCTCTTCTGTATTTCCTCTTTGCCTACATTTATGTCTTGTGTCTCAAAGACTTAAGTACTTTTCAGAGATGTTGTGTATTAACACTATTGGAAGTAAATCTTGATTAGAAGCATTAACCAACCTATTAAATTTAACAGCTCATATTTTAAATGTTTATAACTCTCTTGAATTTATCAGTAGCTAATATGAGTCAGGATTCAAAAGAAACAATTTAATGAGTCACATTTAGCATTTTTAAAAATGAAGTAGGATAGAAAGTACCACAGTGGATCACAGTAAGGGAAGTAAGTAAAAACCTTTCATTAACAGTTTTATATATCAGCACCCCCAACTTACCCACACACAAATACATAACTACTTCAAATACACAACAATTCAAAAAATTAAAATTTTTTGAATCTAAATTTAAAAAACTTAAGTCTAGAATAATAAATGGTTATGTAGACATTTCATATAGGGTCCTAAATTAGAGTTTTAGATTTCATTCACTTCTTCCTGCCCTCTTTTCCTCCTCCCTAAATTTATTATTATAAGTTCAAATTTTCAGTTCAGCTTCCCTAATATAGGTTCATAACTATAAGTGTAATGTATGATTCCCTAAAATAGACATGCAAATGATATTTTAAATAAGACACGTTTGTTGATTATAAAAGTTTCTAAAATCCAGAGCTGCCCAAAAAATGGAAAGATGAGTATTTTTTATGAATTTCTTTTCATTGGTGATATTTTAGCATTGATTAGATGAGTAGTAATAGGTATTTGACTGTAATATCCTGAGTTTCATCATGATATGCTATGAAAGAGAAATTTGAAAGCTTTCTTGGTATTGAGCCTACTTTATACCCAAAAACATTCTTTAAAAAGTTTTCATTGTATCTATGTGCAACTGCTTTGCTTTTAAAAATGCATATTTGGCAAAGTGACTGTTTTTGTATATAGCTGGTGATATGCTGGTTTATATATATGGAGCCCATATTAATTTGAAGAGTAATTTATCAACTTCTGTTACACAGTATTTCATATTGTAGCAGTGAGTGGTAAAAAAATTTTATGGTGGGGGTAGTTGAACACAGTCCTACATTCTTGAAGTGTTTTGTTTGGTTTTTAACCTTCTGGTCAAACTTTACAATATTTATTCATTAAGAGCTTCCTATTAATACATTTGTTTTGGAAGAACTTATTGTTTTTTTTCCAGATTATTTTACTTCAATTTATAATGTAGTTACTATACAGATGAAACACAACAAAAAATGATACTTATTCCTTTACCATAGGATCAGCGGCAAACTGAAGCTATCCAGTTACTACAGGCACAACTGACTAACATGACACAACTGGTTTCAAACTTATCAGCAACAGTGGCAGAATTAAAACAGGAGGTAATTGTTACTCTAGTATTGTGAGACACAATGCATGTGTGGAGGTTGTCACGAAGGCAAGCTTATTAACATGAATGTGGTACCTAAAAACTTTAACCAAACAAAATTGTCATTTATAGAGAACTTTTTCAGAACAACAGAATGTGGAGTATTGAAGTTTTGGGTATATGTTAATTATGATAATATTTGTAAAACATGACCTTCGTAATTTAGGCCTTACTTAGAAGTGTAAAACTATTGTAGTAGGTTGTTTGCAGACATTGATAGGAACACATACTTCATTTTCTGTTCAAAAAGGCTCATAAAGTTGCTTAGCAAAGCAAAAATTTCATTGATTTAACAAAAATTTATTTAGCATCTAGTATATGTGAGACATGCACTGTATAGTCCTAGGTTGTGGCATACAGCAATGAATAGTCCCTGGCCTCACAGGATTTGTGTTCTGGGGGAGGGATAGAATACATACAGTAAATTTATAAACAGGTGATAATTTCTCCTAGTGATAAGTGCTATGAAAAAAATGAAAAAAAAAAAAAAGAAATGTATGTGTGTAGGGTGGTGGTGGTATGGAATGCTGCTTTAGCTAGAGTGATCTTTAGAAGGCCTATCTGAGGCCTTCCAAGAGGAGGTAGCATTAGGACTGAGTGCTCAAGAGAATCCTCAAGCAGCCACACATTGCCTGGGATGAGAACAAACCTGATATTAGCAGAACTAGGGCAATGGACCCGAGACAGTATATTTGACACAGTATAATGTGTTAAGTTTGAGGGCAGAAAGAAAGCTAGTGTGGCTGGAGCATAGTGAATGAGAGAAGTGAGGCTGAGATATGGGTTGAAGATATTGGCAGGGGCCTGGTCATGTAGCACTTTGTAGGCAATTTAGAGTTTGAATATTATCTGAATCATTGTAAGTCATTGGAAAGTATTAAGTAAAGAAGTGTTGTGGATCATGTCATTAATGCTTAACACTTTGAGAAACTCCCCACATGTTGCTCTGTGGAGAATTGTCTGTTGGGGAACAGCAAGAGCAGAAGCAGAGAGAAAGCCAATTAGGAGGCAATTGCAGTAACCTGGGTGAGGTGATGCTGGCTTGGACTAGAATTTTAGAAGTGGAGTATTGTACAAAATTATTGAATTCAGGATATATTTAAGAGGTAGAAAGACAAGCTTTGTTGAAATGTTAGGTGTGAGGGGATGAGGAAATAAGGGTGATCTCTAGGTTTTTGCCTTAAATAACTGGATGATTGGTGGTTCAGTTTTATAAGATGGGAAAGAGTGAAGCACAATTTTCTTTTCTCCCTGAGGAGATAATGTAAATGGAAAGCAAACCACATGTGATAAAATGTTAACAATTGGTGAACATAGATGAAAGGCATAAATATGTTTATTGTATTATTTTTAAAACTTTTCCATAGGTTTGAAAATTTTCAAAGGCGGAATTGAGGGAGGAGAAGAAAAAAAGAAAAACGTTGATTTAGTAGTTCATTTTCAAAGAGCATGCCCTGCATTTATGGTTTTGAAGCAAATTTAAAAAATGTTTAAAATGATTTGTCCTTCGAATTTTAAATACCACTATGTTTTTTCTAATGTGATTTACTATTATTGTTTTTTAACCCTTATCTTAGGTTTCAGATCGACAAAGCTATCTTGTCATATCTTTGATTCTTTGTGTTGTCTTGGGACTGATGCTTTGTATGAAGTGTTGTCGAAACACTTCTCAATTTGATGGAGACTATATTTCAAAACTTCCTAAAAGTAATCAGTATCCAAGCCCTAAAAGGTAATGCCAGCATTATATTTCACAATTTTCTTTTTTTACTATGCTTTTTATATATTTGAGAAATTTTGACCAAATGAAGGGACACTGAGGTAATTCCTTTTCCCATTTGATTATCTTGATACCAAAATATTTAAAAACATCATTGGGGTAGTGAGATGGTCCTATGACTGATTGGCTCTTTGAACTGTAGTTAAAACACTAAGTACATGAAATGTACTTGAAATGTTTTGGTTGAGAAAGAAACTCAGATGTGGAATTCAAAGGAGGAGGAAAATAGGTATTTTAATATAGTACCTTTTAGACAAAGATCTTTAATTTTTTTTTACTTGTATTAGCAATAACTGGAGTATTAGACTTAGTCCTATTGGTATACATGGTTCTCAGTAGCCTTCATTTATCCTCAACTACAGTTATATTTATGTGTAGTTTACTCATTTTACCCAATATTGATTTTTCTTAATATGTTAGGTGTTTCTCTTCCTATGATGATATGAATTTGAAAAGAAGAACTTCATTCCCACTCATCAGATCCAAGTCTCTGCAGTTAACTGGCAAAGAAGGTAGATTTTTGTGGCTATGCAATATGTATATATAAACATGAAACTAGCTTACTTCTGGCATAAGTATAACGTCAGTATTGTGTTTGTGACCATCTGCATCAAAAATGGATACAAGTAGCCTCTGTGTTTGTTCTATGTCATAGCCACTTTATCATTTTCACATTTTATATCTGTCTTTGTTTCTAAAAGCCCAGAGGGTGGGGAGGCGGGCTTAGTTTATTTGATTAGCAATTGGTAGGTTTGTTTGCACATGCTCCTGTTTAGAAGTATTTCTTTTTAGAAAGGGGTGTTTGAGAAAGTTCAACAGATATGGAAAACCTGAATGTGCTCCCATAGCATCCTGTGCTTATCTGCCTCCTCTTCTTGTACAGGTAGGACCCCTTTTGTCTCTAGTTTAGGACTGTGAGGCACTTTCTGAGCCAAAGTCTTGTCTCTCTTGTGTAGCCGCAGAGCCTATAATTGGTTTCCGTTGTCTAACACTCAATAAATACTTCCATTTAAATGAATATATGTATACTGAGTGGCTGTTTTCCTATTTCAGTATCTTTGTAATTAATGCTTATTAAGTGATTTAGAAATTTGTCTTCATAGCAATATTAAAATAACCAAATTAATTACATATTTCAATTAAGAGTGCTTTCTTAATAATCATTGGCTGTTGTCTCTTTCTTTAGGATTTAGTAACCAAGTAGCATGTTTCGGTTGATTTAACCATTTAAGTAACCATTTCTGACCTTCCCTGGTTTATTGTTACCACAGAGCTTTATAGACTTAACTCATTACATGTGTGTTTACTTAGGGCTAATAAATCTCTTCTTCCTCCTTCCTGCTTCTTTGTCTTTTTTTTTTTCTTTCTTTTGCAAGTGAAATTTATAATTGAAGTATTACATACAAGAAAGTTAATTATCATGTATAAAATTTGATTAATTTTCACAAGCTGAACACAGCTTTGTAAACAATGCCCAGATTAAGAAGCAGAACATTATCCAGCACCTCAAAAAGTTCCTTATGCTCTTTTGGTCACTAGTGACCCATTCCCTTCCAGAGTAGTCAGTGTTTTAACTTCCAACTATTGTGAGATTCACCATGCTATTGAGTGTAGTCATTTGTTTGTTCTTATTCATGTACAGTATTCCATTATACAAATATATTGCATATTATTCATTTACAATTGTATTATTTTCATTTTGAGGCTATTACAGATCTTTCAGTGAACATACGTGTGCAGTTCTTGAACTCTTGACCTCAAGCAATCCTCCTGCCTTGGCCTCCCAGAGTGAGGAGGATTATAGGCATGAGCCAAAGCGCCTGGCCACATTTTTGTTAGGTATACACCTAGAAGTGGATGATAGTATATGTATGATCAGTTTTACTAAATACTGCCACACAGTCTTCCAGAGTGTTATGTGGATTTTGCCCTTCTATCAGCTGTATCTGAGAGCACCAGTTGCTCCACATCCCAGTTAACATCTAGTACTTTTGGTCTTCAGCCATTCTGGTGGGTTTATATGCATTCCTTATTTGAGCTATATTCATACAATTAGGAAATGATGTTAGAAATATTTTTCCTTCTCAGTATATCTAGTCTTATTTTAAATTAAGTGAAATCATGGCTCTTTTACAATTTCTGTCTTCTTGAACTCTGTAAGATCAAATAGAAGCCTTTTGCACCTGATAGTAGAATTACTTCTATTTTAAATAACAGTGTCATCTTGGTTTATCTTTACAAGTAAAGAAAGCTGAATACAATACATAGGTACAGGACTAACTTTAATCCTGATTCTTGTGTTAGTTAATTCACTTATTTCCGCTCCTGTTGGAATTAGATCTCTTCTTACGGCATTTATCATAGTCTGCTTTGATTTGACCCATCTTCTACTTGTCTTATGTTCACTTCTAAGCTCTGTGAGAAGGGACCATGTCTTATTTTGTTTTGTTTTTAATTGTGATAAAAAGCACATAAACATAAAATTTACCATCTTAACCATTTTTAAGTGTACAGTTCAGTAATGTTAGGTATATTTACATTGTTATGCAACAGATGTCCAGAATGTTTTCATCTTGCAAATCTGAAACTATGCCCATTAAACAACTCCCCACTTTTCCCTCCTCCTAACCCCTGGTAAATACTATTCCATTTTCTATTTCTATGAATTTAACTACTTTAGTTTCTTCATGTAAGTGGAATTATACAGTATTTGTCTTTCTGTGATTGGCTTATTTTACTTAGCATAATGTCTTCAAGTTTTATCCATGTTATAGCATATGACAGGATTTTCTTCCTTTTTAAGGTTGAATAATATTCCATTGTACATATATACCACATTTTCTTCATTCATCTGTTGATGTACATTTGGGTTACTTCTTGGCTGTTGTGCATAGTACTTCTATGAACACGGGTATACAAATATCTCTTCGAGATCCTGATATCAATTCTTTTGGATATATAGCCAGACGTGGGATTGCTGTATCATATGGAAGTTCTATTTTTAATTTTTGAGGCACCTCCATACTGTTTTCCATAGTTACTGCAACATTGTATAATTCTACCAACAGCATAAGAGGGTTCCAGTTTCTCCCTATCCTCACCAGCACTTGTTATTTTCTGGGTTTTTTTGGTAGCGTCATCCAAATAGGTATGAGGTAATATCTTATTGTGATTTTGATTTGCATTTCTCTGATGATTAGTGAGGTTCAATATCTTTTCAATATACTTGTTGGCCATTTGTGTATCTTCTTTAGAGAAACGTATATTCAAGTCTTTTGCCCAGTTTTTAATTGTGTTATTTGATTTTTTTATTACGAAGTTGTAGGAGTTCTTAATATGTTCTGGATTGTAAACTCTTATTAGTTGTATGATTTGTAAATATTTTCTTTCATTCTGTACATTGCTTTTTCACTCTGTTGATTGTATCCTTTGATGCACAGAGTTTTTAAGTTTGAAGTAGTTCCAGTTATCTATTTTATTTTTGTTGCTTGTACTTTCAGTGTCATATCCAAGAATCATTGTCAAGTCTAAAATCATGAAACTTTTCCCCTTTGTTTTCTTCTAGGAATTTTATAAATTTAGGTCTTTATTTAGGCCTTCGTTTTGTGTTAATTTTTGTATATGTCGTAAGAGGCCAATTTCATTCTTCTGCATATGACTATCCAGTTTTCCCAGCACCATTTGTTGAAGAGACTGTCCTTTCCTCATTGAGTGGTTTTGGCACTCTTGTTGAAGATCATCTGACCATATTCACAAGATTTTATTTCTGGCCCTTTATTCCATTGGTCCGTCTGTCTTTATGCCACTACTACACTGTTTTGGTTACTGTGGGTTTACAGTGTGTTTTGAAATCGGGAAGTATGAGTTCTCTAATTTTGTGCTTTTCAAAATTCTTTTGGTTTTTCAGGGTCCCTTGAGATTTCATAAGAATTTTAGAGTGAATTTTTATTTCTGCACAGAGTGCCCTTGGAATTTTGATAGAAATTGCATTGAATCTATAGATCATTTTGGGTAGTATAGACATCTTGTTAAGGCTTTCATTCTATGAACATAGAATATCTTTCCATTTATTTGTATCTTCTTAAATTTCTTTAATCAGTGTTTTTTTTCAGTGTACAAGTCTTTACCTTTTGGTTAGGTTTATTCCCAAATATGTTATTCTTTTTGATGCTATTGTAAATAGAATTGTTTTCTTAATTTCTTTTTCAGATTATTCATTGTGAATGTTTAGAAATGCAACTGAGTTTTGCTTATTGATTTTATGTCCTGCAACTATGCTGTAAATTCATTTATTAGTTTTAACAGGCTTTTTTTTTTTTTTTTTTAAATCTTTAGGGTTTTTCTCCATGTAAGATCATGTCATCTGTGAACAGAGATAATTTTACTTATTTCCAGTTTGGATACCTTTTGTTTTTCCTGCCTAATTTCCTTAGCCAGGACTTCCAGTACTAAGTTGAACAGAAACTACAAGAGCAGGCATCCTTGCCTTGTTCCTAATCTTAGAGGAGATGCTTTCAGTCTTTCACCATTAAGTATGTGTATTTTTTTTTTTTTAATTTTTGTTTTTCTTTTTTATTTGGTAGAGACGGGGTCTCACTGTGCTCTGGCTAGTGTTGAACCCCTGAGCTCCAGCTGTCCTCTCACCTTGGCCTCCCCGAGAGCTAGTATCATAGGCCTGAGCCACCGTGCCCAGCCTCACCATTAAGTATGATGTTAGCTGTGGCCTTTTCATAAATGGCCTTTATTATGTTGAGGTAGTTTCCTTCTATTACTCATTTATTGGTACAATTGGCCCTCTGTATCCACAGATTTCACATCTACAGATTCAACCAACTGTGGATTGAAAATATTTGGGAGCAAAAAACTAAAAAATATCAATACAATAAAAAATAATACAAATAAAAAACCAATACAATGTAATAACTATTTACATAGCATTTACATTGTATTCAGTATTAGAAGTAATCTAGAGATGATTTAAAGTATACAGGAGGATGTATGTAGGTTATATGCAAATATGCCATTTTATGTAAGGAACTTGAGCATCTTGAGAATTTTGGAATCCTTGGTTGGTGCTGGAACTAATCCCCCTAATACTGAGGGATGACTATTTTTATCATTGACAGGGTGTTGAATCTTGTCACGTGCTTTTTCTTTATCAATGGAGAAGATCGTGTGGTTTTTGTTTTTCAATCTGTTAATGTGCTGTATTACATTGATTCGTTTTCTTGTGTTGAACCATCTTTGCATTCCAGGAATAAATCCCACTTAGTATGTTTAACATGCTGTTGAATTTGGTTTACTAGTATTTTGTTGAGAATTTTTGCATCAGTGTTCATAATGAATATTGGTTTGTAGTTTTTTTGGTAGTGTCTGTCTGGCCTTTGGTTATAAGGGTAATGCTGGCCTCACAGCGTGAGCTTGAAAGTGTTCTCTCCTCTTCAATTTTTTGAAAGAGTTTTAGGATTGGTGTTAATTCTTTAAATGTTTGGTAGAATTCTCCAATGAAGCC